CTCCCCACTCTGTTCCTGGTGAATCCTCTCACCCTCTGCATCTCTGGCCTGTACCCCAGTTCTGTATGAATAAATAAATAAATCTTAAAAAAAAATCTACTTCCTCTCTGCTATCATCCTCTAGTAATGTACAAAAACATTGAAAAGGTTCTTTCAGTATCTGTAAAACAATGCATTTTGTACCTTTCTCTTCTTTTTTAGCTCCAAAACACTTTTTAAAACTCTTCTCTAAATTTCAAAAACCAATGCAATAGCATTTGGAAGAAGGAATTACTCAATCACCAAACTTATCAGATCAAAATTATCAAATAAACATGATGGTCCTTAAGGAGATTTTTTTTAGTGATTCTCCAAAAGATATGGTAAAAATATATCTTCTGCTGTTACATAGTCATAAAGGTACTAGCTGGAGGAATTCATTTCTCCATGCCTCAGTCTCTTCATATGAAAAAATTATAGTAATATTTACATATTCACATAAATTTTGGGTATACAAACATGTACACATGTGAAAACAGAATTTAACATGCTCTTTTTATCTAAAATCTTTGACCTGAACTACATCTACGGTCTCATACCACAGCATTTACACCCCATGACTTTCTAGGAATCGGCAATCCATTCAGTTTCAGCTACACTGTGCAAGCCACATGCATTCAACAACTTCTAAAGTTACCAAAACAAGGAAAGACCAGAAATCAAAGCAGCCACTGAAACAGACAAGGGTCATCAGGAATAGTGACCACTCACCCCAGCCTTCTCTCACAGCTTAGCTATACCAGAATTATTATTAATGACACCATCTTTGCTGGCAAAAGTGGCCCTGTTTAAGATTCTGCCACAACAGTTTTTAAGAAAGTATCCCTTTTGGACAATAAATTGTAATGATACCTGCCATCAAGCTCTAGGTCTAATGTAAGTCCACAATGAGATCAACAAAGCACTAGGTCTGAGCTCTCACCTGGCCCTCGCAAAGGGCCCAAATCTTTCCAACTCCCATGCCCACCCCTATAGCCCACTGTACCCACACTTAGCCCTGAATATCTGTTATGACCGTGTTATGTTCTGTGTTGTGTGTGTGTGTGTGTGTGTGTGTCCCCTCTGTAAGGGCAGAAGCTGCCTTAGTGAAAGTCTGCATCTCCAAAACCTAGCATGCAAGCTGGTTTGCTCCTTCCTCTGTAATAAGCCAGAATTATCATGACCCTTTATCTGCAGAGGTTTAGAGAGGTCAGTAGCCTCTGACTCCTCAGGAAGGTCATATTCCTTTCCCAGGAAGAAATATGCCAGAAGAAGTAATATGCCAGAAGATAATATTTCTTTCCTGGGAAGAATGTCATCATCAGCTCCCCATCTTGATTTACTGGCCCAGGCACCAAATTCTGAGGTGGGGGAAGGGGAGGGAAGTGGTTATATGAATGATGCACACATTTAATAGGATTTAACTCAATTTAAAGGATGAAGCCCACTACAATTTAAATAACCACTGTGGGTCTGTATAAGGTATCAAGGCACTTGAATTCTTTCAAAGCAGTCACTATGCCATAGAATATTTTTTATAAATATGCTTGACATTCTGTGGGCACTCAATGACTGTTTAATGGGTGAGTGAACAAAAAAGTTGAGATACAATGCTACGGCCCTTACTGTCTTCAAAAGGTAGGAGCTTTATAGAAGCTATGCGTTTTAACTGCCTGGAATACTCGCATTTACTTAGGGTCCTCAATGGGGGCTGACGGGAAGAGACTGACCACTCTCAGAGGAGAGGTCACCCTGCACTCCCCACTGCCTATGAGGTCACAGATATCCCCATGGAGCTTTTGCGGGGTCCTGCCAACCCTCCACCAGGAGTTCTCCACTTATCCAGCACTTTATTTCCAAAATTTAAAATTTTTCATAAGATTGGCATAAAACATTAATTTAAAATCCTGAAAGGAGGTACACCTTTGTCTTCCTAACAGTAGCCCTGATTAGATAAAAATGTAGATACTGTATTTGTGTTTATTCACCAAAGAATCTGTGAATCAACTGGCATTTTTTTTTCGGACAGAATATTAAATACTAAAGAAAACTCATGACACAACTACTGTACGTTTTATCATCTACTGTCATGGTCCAATAGAAAAGAGCTGGATTTTTTTCCCAGTGCTGATTCTAACAAAAGTAAATTCACAAAAGCTGGCTTTTACCAGGGTTATCTTAAAATAGTGAGAGAGACAAAGGGAGAAACAGATGGAGAGGGAGAGTCCAACAAATACAATAGCTGAAAGAAAGATGTATTTTCAAGCTTTGATGGCTACCCCACCAGCAAATACTCACCTAATGATTTTTTTTTAATCAAAAGCAGAAACACCATCT